CATGGCACTCAGGTCAACCATCGTTGCACTCTAGCGGCTCTTATGGCAACCAGATGGGCACGTATAATGGTCTAAACTTTAAACACATCAATTCAAGTATCAGGTCTGAACATCTTATGAACAAATGGAGCACTAGGCTGAACATTTTGTATGTCAGATGCTTGAATTATGCTGATTGGTTTAGGTGATGAGGACCCTCGGCCCCCAGTCCAGGGTTACAGCTTTGCACTTCTTGCAAAGTGTACTCTAGGTTTGACAAAATAAATGACTAAATTAAACCTGAACCTGTCACATTACGACAAAGACAACTGCTTAAAGGGGCACTTCACCCCACCAACCCCCCTCTATGCACACTACTAGTATAAATGAACCCCCCCCCCCCCTGCTAACATAGCTAACATTCCAGTGTCAGCAGCCCTCAGTCTGAATGACTTTAAGCAGTGCCGGCTCCACGGGTCACAGACATCACTTACCTACACGCAGGGAAACACCACTGAGAAAACACGGATGGAGCGAAGTTTTTTTCTCCAGGTAATCATGTGAGGGTGTGTGTGTGTGTGTGTGTGTGTGTATGTGGGCCTGTCTTTGTGTGAGCTTGCACACACTCTCAGGCTTTTGTGTGCAAGTGTGAGTTTGTGTATTTGTGTTTGCAGAGGGTCATGTATACAAAAGGAGTTCACTCAGGTGCCCCCCCCCCCCCACACACACACACACACACACACACACACACACACACACACACACACACACACACACACACACACACACACAGACCCACAAGTGCAGATTCAACAGGAAGAACTCGGACCTCCCACGTCTTCTACGGCTCTCAGTGCGGCTGTCATCGTGCGTCTTCCTCACCCTCAGCTCCTATTTCACCTTCATTTGTGTATTTTTTCATCACGGTCAATTTCTTTTATTAAAGCTCCATTCTTTTCCTCTCACTTCAACCATCCACGTCCTGTACAAGCTCCCTGCAGGCTCAGCTGGAGCGCTTCACTCTGGAGTTTTTAGACAGAGCGATGAGAGAGAGAGAGAGAGAGATGCAGGAATAAACTGCTCCCCGGGGGAAGAGATAAACATTTACTTTTCCACGAGGAGATGGTGATAGCATTACGAGCAGTCTCAAAACAAAGACATGGGAGAGACGTGGTGAAAGTAGAAAATGGAAGTCAAACATACAGTGAGAGTCGAAGTGATGGAAGAAAAGAAGCAGAGGAAATACACAACTGTCAAGATCAATCTGTAGCTGAAGAGAGGGACTTGTTCCAAAAACAGCTACTTTTTCTTTTGACCTCTCAAAATTGAGGGGCTTGTAGATGTTAAGTGTCCACAACAGCTACCAGGTATATTTGACTTACAGAATTGGAAATTAATTATTTTTAACATCAAAACATTTTCCTTGTCATAACTCACGCAGAGGAATTAGAGCAGATCTTTAACTTGTGTTTAGAAAAGAAACATCCCCCACGTCTTAGTCCGAAACTGGAAATATGGAAATGGCTTTTTCTTTGCAAGAGCTGAAGGTGATTACAGTGTTTATGAGCTGCTAATGGAAGAGGACTGAGGGGCCTGTAATGCACGTGTCACAACATAAACACTCAGAGGCACTTTGATGGCGCCGGTTTATTACAGACTGCATCTATAAAGAACAGGGAGGGGGGGAACTGCCCCCGTCTTGCGTGTGATGTATTCGCCACATTGAGATCCCACTCCTCCATGTGTGTGACAGTGGACTCATAAGGCCATGAGACACATTGGGATGCGCCGCTATGTGTCGTGCTGCAGCCCCACTGACCCTAATTTATAACGACTCCATTGTCTTGGGGAACACAGACGTACACCACGACCAAATGAAGTAGGACAGGCACTTGAGCTGCGGAGATGAGGTGATTATAGCTCATGGATTAGTCTGGCCGAGGTGGCTCATGCGCACACACACACACACACACACACACACACACACACACACACACACACACACACACACACACAAGAAACCCTCAGACCTTGAGGTTTATACGTTTACAGAAACAACAGGCACAAACACACACGATGACCTCACAAAGACACCCAAACAAACACAGTGTGAGATGGATTTGACGGTAAACAGAGCGCACGGGAGCCGATCATGATTCTGTCCACTGTGGGTTCATTTCACTCAACAGTGATTTGAAGATTCATATCTCACAGCAGGTGCATGTCACATTTTTTCTCCTCTTCTTTAGGTGGACTCAGGTACACACAGGCAGTTCAAAGCTGGTTTACATGTGAAACCATGTAATTTAAAAACCTTGATATTTAATATTAAGCAAACATGCACGGTTAAAGACTTACAGTTAGACAAAGTTCACTGTATGCTCTCTTTTTTAAAATACCAACCTAATAGAATTCAAGAAGCAGACACCCTGGGGCGCAGGATAACCTAGCGGATATGTTACGTGCACCATGTACTCGTTGCAGTAGTTTTTTTTATATGATCTCTGCCCTTTGCTGCATGGCCCCCCCTACATTCTCCTCCTAACATTTCCTGTCTCTGTTCAGCTGTCCCGTCCAATAAAGGCAAAAATGTCCCAAAAAATCAGACACCCTTAGATTATTGTTTTGAAAATGCACAGGGGGGGGCACAGACAACCGTAAGTCATTTTAATCCAAATGTGGAGTTTGTTGAGCAAAATCCAATGTATCAGAAAGATAATAAATCATCTACATCCTCATCTGGCAGTTAGAAGCAGACTTCTTACATTACTAAGCAGGACATGAGTCCTCAGTGTCATGCCTGCAGGTTCATGCTGCAACATATTGAGCTTACAGAGATCAGTGGAGTCAGGTTTATTCAACACAAGATGTTTTTATACTTGCACAAAACTCCCTAAATTTCCCCGAAATATTCCAGACTTCTGATAATACCTGGATTTTTTCCTGCTAGTGCACTGCTTCAATTCGTGCATGAAGTTGAGGTTAGCCGATATGTGAACACAGAAGGTAATATTTAAGAAAATGCACTGCATTTGATGTAATATATGTAAAGCAATCTGCATGAATGTAATACATATATTTCCTGAATGCATCACGGCACCAATCCAAGATGGCCGCGCACACGTCTATGCATGCGTGTGCCTTTTTATTCCAGTGTCTTTGTTTGTGTATTTTACCGACTTTTACTGCTCAATCTTTAGCTTGTGTATGGCTAAAGACACATACCTCCTGTCACCTCTATGAACAGCAACTAATCAAATCAACAAAATACCATTCTGATCTGCAAGTTTTTTGCGACTGCTGGCCTCTCACCTCCACCAGTTCACCCTGATCTCTATGGGATATTTATCTGGTTAAATAAAGGTTAAATAAAATAAAAAAATAAATATTAAGCATTTGATGTGATCTATATATTTAGTATTTGATGATATATTTACCATGATGCTTCTTCTATTTCACCTCATCTTTCAGATGATCATTGTCAGTGCTGTGGCTCCATGTGACATAATGAATAAATCATTGAGTGTTTATTCTATGTAAGTCGTTGCATTGTATGCTATTAGACACTCAATAGATTGAATGTGTGTGTACACAATGTGTCATGAGGGGCTAAACAGATAGAGAGAGGAACTGTGAAGCAGGCACAATGAGCTCAGTGAGTCTGTTCAGGTGGAATAAATCACAGTGTCTGTGAACAGAAGCCACAGTTTGACTGCTCAGTGTCTCTGTAAAGTTTACAATCCTGCTGCTGCTGAGCCCAGCGGCACTCACACCAGATCCCTCAGCGGTTCTGTTGTTATGAGGAGGATTAGTTCAACCAGCGGGCTAAAGTCTGTCTGTGTCTACTCTCCCTCACTGACACACAATCCTCATCTGCATCTGCACCTGGAGATGATGATAGAGTCTAAATACTTTGAATAATTCCTCACAATCAGAGGTAACATGAACATGGTCTCTTCTTTAAATCGCACTTGATTTAATTCCTGTGAAAGAGACTTCAATATGCTTTATCATATATTCTTTCTTTGAGGTGTTGTTCCTGCTGCCGCCGCTACGTGGCGTCTTGAGTCGTGAACCTAAAGTAATGCACAGCACACACTTGGATCTACAGCCAGGAGAGAGAAAAATGTACTACTGATAACATTTAGTGAAAATCTAAAGAGTAAACTTGAAGAAATTTACTTTTTGTGTCTTTTAGTGACATTAAATCTTCTTTAATTTAATTATTTCATTTTTATTTATGAGAAGAATTAAGATGTTGCTTTCTCAAAAACAAGTGGAGCCTGTAATCATTCCTTTAATGGTTTTAAGGAACTTTTCCAGTTAGAGAGAAAATATTTGTTAATCTTAATTCTAATTAAAAAATGGCTGATCTTCGGTTTAGAATACATTGGAATAAAAGTCACTGTAAAGCTTTAAAATCAGACAAATAGTATGAAAGTCGGACAAGACAAGATACATGACTTCTACGGTTAAAATAAATAAAACTAGTGATAAGATAAATAAAGATTTCCGTCACAGGATCTTTTTTTGCAGCGCTTTTCTGACCTGATCTGGGATCTGTCTGCCGGGCCTGGGAATCTCAGATACCCCCCAAGGAGGAGGGTCGTTGTTGTTGTAAGCGAAACGCCCGTCATTCAAAACCCAACGCCAATGAGACAGAGAGAAACCGTCAAGCCGTACACTGCAAAAAGTATGCGCAATAACAAACCGCGCTGCAGATGCTGCACTCGAACTGCAACATGAATGAACTTGAACCAGTGTTTTTCTGTGCATTTCAGGGCGGACTGATCTCTTTTGGGTGGCCTTTCTGCAACATGTGAAAACGTGAAGCATCAGATTCAGGAAATAAAGCACTGCTGACAAATACATGTGCACATTTCTTTATTGTATTTAAAACACAATCACAAGAAGAATCAACCGCTTTTACGCTTCAGCTGCGAAGTGGTTCATTTTTTACAGTGTGCCCCGGCTGGCACAGTAGGAGGGAGGAAAAGAGAGAGAGTGGGGGGGATTGGAGGAGGAGGGGGGTTGGTCCGGGAGAGCATGGCCGCAGGAGCCACAGCGCTGATGACTTGGTTTGGTTCCTGCACGTTGATAACAGAGCTCTTCAGGGGATTTTTAACCCGGAGATCGTGTGCGTTTACGCGCGGAGGAGACGTTTGATTCACTGCCTGTGTTGTTGTTGTTCGGCGGGGCAGAGGTGCTCGGGCGAGCTGCGGGGAACAAACCCGGAGCTGAAGCTGCTGGTTTTTGAGTCTTTTCGGTGATTCACAGCCTACTGAACCAGAGATCCAGCGCCGGAGAAAGCGACGGCACAAGGGACTGCGTCTCCACCGAGGTTTACCCTTTTGCATCGTGGAACATTTACTCTCTTTTTCAACTGCGTCGCTGCGCTGCTTTCTCTCTGGGAAATTCAACCGAGTTGGAGAAACTGTTCGCCGCGCGGAGTTGAGCCGATTGCAGAGAGTTGGTGAATCAAGCTGAAATCATCTGGATTTTTAAATGCTTGTTTTACTTTGCCGAAAACTGCTGCTTTGAATTAAAGTGGGGAAGAGTTTGGTGCAAAGTCATTGAGCTGACTGTCAGACTGATCCTAACCCGCTCTGTTTAGAGGACATCTTTCTCGTTTTCCCCCTTTCAGCACAGAGTAGGGGGACTACGTCTGTGCGGGAATAAAACGCGTAAAAGCTGCAAGACTTCATCCCAAAATATATTCATCTTTAACCCTGACACTGAGGAAAGGACTGTAATCGATTTGGCTTCATCGGAGTTCCACAGCAAACATGCCGCAGGTGGAAATGATCCTCTTCCTCCTCCTCATCATTGGGATGTGTGTGTTCGGCCAGGACCCGGCTTCCAAGGTGGTGTCCGACCGCTACGCCGTCTACTGGAACCGGACCAACCCCAAGTAAGTAGCCCGACCCCGCTGGCTTGGCCGCCGGCCGCTGCTCCGCTCTCCTGCAGGGACACACCGGCATAGAGGGGCTCCTTCAGCCTGGACGTTAGTACCCGGGTGTAGCTGAACTGGATCACAGTTGTTAAACTGCTCAGTGACTGCTTGTAGACTACACTTGGTGCACTCTGAGCTCAATATGAAGCAACAAATGTGCAGAAATACACTATAATAACCCCTCTTTAAATATTTATAGATTAAAAAATAGCTTGTTATTTGATCAATGTTTCACTGTGTGAAACGAAATGCAACATTTGCTCCATTATAAGCTCTTCTTCGGCGCACTTCATTCTGGTAATATAATTGTTATTCAGGTTCCCACTTCATTACAACCATATTTGTTGTCTCCGTTGATGGATTGTTGTGGTGATTTCAGTCGAATAATTCTCCATCCTATCTGAATCATCGTTTAATAACCTGTGCAGCATAAATCACTGCTGACAGAGGAACAACGTGCCATCTTTTTCACACATTCTGATCCGCTATTACGCACCATTACGCGCTATTACGCATTAATGTTCGGTGTTTGCTCCGCGCTCAGGTCGAAAATGAAATACAAGAGGAGAGTGAGAAGCGCTGGGAGAAATGTGTTCAGGCTGAGCTGCTGCATTTGAATACTGCTGAGTCGCTTCCAGTCTGCTGCTGTCGATTAGAAATGACAGGAATGATTTGGTGCCAAATGGTAACCCTCGCTTTGAGACTGAGCAGATATGTTTGTCAAATTGTGGGTTGATATGGTTGACTTGATAGTGTCTTTACTATCACGGAGGCAGCGCGTTGCTGATAAAGTGCAGATATTGTATTTTCTTAAGAATGGGTGAGTTATAACTTTGCAGTAATGCAAACGTTGCAAGTTTGCATAAAAAGTCTTCACATATTAGCAAAAATTTGAGCACTAAAGTGACTTTTCTTTCCTCAGCCCCCTCCTGTGTGTGTCATTTCATCTCCTATGCTGACTCAGTGCCTTACTCTTGGCACTTGAGCTCATATGAGTGTGTGTAACTTATTTTTCGGATGGACAGGAAAAACTCTCCAGTCTGAAGTTTTAGCAGGAGTGCAGATAAAAAGGAAATTGACATCAACATGTTCTCTGAAGGGAAAAAAAGAAACTGGTTTGTTGGGCATCAGAGGAGTTGAACTGACGGGATGTTAATGATACAAATGCAAATGTTGTGGTGTTGAGATCAAAGGCTGTTGGAGTTCCTGCCCAGCGAGCAGACAGATATCTGCGTCTGATAACAGCCTTCTGTCCCGCTCACAGGCTGCAGGTTGGGTGTTTTTTTGTTTTTTATCTTCTGTTGGCCTTCAAACTGTTCCCACTTCCCAAGTCTGGTTTCTTGGTTGCCATGCTCCCCAGTCCCCTCCACCCCACTCCACTTCTTCTGCCCCCCCTCCCGGCCCACGCTGGGGCAGACAATGCCGGGGTACACAGGGGTATTTCAGCTGCGGCCAAGTCTCAGCGTGATGCCCGGTCTTGTGAGAGATACACACATGCTGAGGTCACACACTCGGTAGTAACCAGGCGAGTTTCGGGGTTAAGCAGCGCAGAGGAGACCGTTGTCAGGGTCAAAACCGGGGCAGCACCGCCGGCCATGGGGCCCCGGTGACGGCCCCGGCACAGGCACCCCGCCTGGGCTTTGTCTCTGCAGAATGGAGGCTAAATAAATGAGTAACTCTAAATGAGTGTCTCCTTTTCTCATTCATGACTTTAATCTAAACCTGACCCCGGCTGTAGAATGTAAGAGAGGGCCGTGTTAAAGCCCGGGGGCCCCATGACCCTCAGCAGAACCTAACAGTATTCCATACAATCTTTCGGGCCCCGGATCCCTGCTGTTTAATGTAACCATACTCAGTATTGGAGCCCTGGGAACCTGCTGTGGTACAGTCCCCATTTCCAGATGAGCACCCCCCCCCCCCCCTTCTGCCTTCTCTGCTACATATTTGACCAAAGTGGGAGAAACGGCATCCGGAGCAGCAGTCCATACTCAGCCATTCATGAAATCCCCTACAGGAGCTCTGGAATTGAAAAGGGAAGTGAGTCGTGAAAAATGGAAATGCGATGACATTTTCATGTTTCTCTATTGTTTCAAATTGGGCCGAAAGAAAGAAACCTTCTTGTAATTCAGACCCACAATACGTCCATGTTTGCCGTGCTTTCATCTCTGAGAATCACCTCTCCTGCGCTGATGCTTGTTGCTGATTCGACTCACACGAGCAGGACTGTGAGCAGCGCTGGAGGAGGGATTTACAGCCCTCAGAATGGTTCAGTTTCGCCTGGAGTTTGAAAAGCCTCCACAGTGACAGCGAGTAGCTTTACTCACTCGTATAAGCTACTTAATGAAATTAAATGAAACTCCAGAATCAGGGAGTCTTGTTAGAAAGAAACTGCTGAGATACATTTCATGTCCTTACTCTAAAGGGTTTTTTTTTTGGGTGCAAGATCTGAAATAGAAGCTGAAAGGCTTCAGATAATTATGTCTGTAGAGGCTGGAGCAAAATCTTCTGCCTTGTTCTCGTCAGAGTTGGTCCATGATTGTGGAGGTGTTCTCTGCAGAGGCTGCGGCAGGTTTCAGAAAGTCTGGAAGAGCTCCTTGTTTGGATAGAAAACTAAAAAAACATGGAAATTTAATAACGTGTGAAGATTATAACGCCGAACATTTTTGAGACTGTTGTAGTTTTTGGTTGTTGTGTTTTAAGGATAATTTAAGGGTAATGTGACATGCTCGTACTACTTTTCTTTGATTATTCTGGCAAAAAATCTTCTCAGAGGTTCTAAATGCTAAATTCTTGGTTCCTCTTTATTGCAAAACATACTTTTTAAAAGCCGTATAAGTTGTTTCTAATAGAGTTACAACTGATCAAATATTGTTTATTGATCCTTGTAGCTCATTAAGAAGCAATTAGCCGTCTAGGTTTGCAATGACACAGACTAGAGATGGGACTGATCTGATCTTATATCGGTATCAGGTCCGATGTTGACGTAATTTAGGTATCGGATATCGGACTGACGGCGCTGATCAACGTCACCGATCAAGAAAGATCGTTGGGCACTTCTGACATTCTCAGCTCGTACATTCTCACTTTAGAGTTATTCCTACTGAACTGCAAGTGCCCCGTCTCCATGACGACGTTTAGACTAGATGGATAGGTGTATCTGTAATGTAGACCAGTTCTGCTTAAGACAGACTTCACAAATATGGAGACTAAAACCTTTAAATGAACTAATTGAGTTTAAAACATAAAAAGATGAAGGATTACATGGAAGAAACTTTTATTATTAAAGAGTCTATTATAATGTTATTTCCCAACCGAAGTGAAAAAAGTGCAAAAATAAATAAATAGGAAAATTCATTGTGCAGCAGATATGAACTGTGTTGGAGATACAGTGAAGTTTTAGACGTTATAATAACAGATTCAAGCTGTTACACTGTTGCTATGGTTACATTTAAGGGAGATTATTAACACCAAGTAGACTGCCATGTTGTAACTGTAAGGTTGCAGCTTTACTTCAGTAGCTATTAAAAAATGACCTCTGACCTTTTACGATGACATTTTGTGGAATTATTTACGGGGGGAAAAAATATTCAGCCCTCCAAATATTCTCAAGTTGTTACTTTAAGCGTCATTATAACTAGTTAGAATAATAGTTTAGACTTTATTGGACTGTGAAAAGTTGTTCCAAACACTTTTTAAATGATTTTCAGTCTTTGAAGATGAGATGTTCTACGTGCATTAATTCAAAGTGTGTGTTGTATGAAGCATTAATAACTGGTTTATTCTTCATTATTAAACATTAGTTAAAGCTCATAAACCCTTTATGAAGAGTAACACATTAGAATATTGTTACTGCCCTAAAGTAGCTCATGAATGGATTTCACTGCGGACACTAAGATGTTTTATAGCTCATTAAACGTCTTTAATAACGTATGATTAACCCCTCAATGCAGCCATTAGTTCTAACTTAAAAAACGTGTAAACAAATGATGTCTTATTGGATTCAGAGTCTGCAGACATTTGTCCTTTTAGTGTTTCCTTCTACGCATGTATTGATGATTCATACAGCAGTCAGTTCCAGCGAATAAATCCAGTCTTACGTTTGTTTTATTGGAAAGTGGCACTCGGACAGAAACATCAGCTCATGAGCAGAAAGCGAAGCTCAGAGCATAAAACCTGAAGCGTTTGGTTTGTGGAAAAAAAAAAAAAAAAGGCTCGTGTAAGAAAAAATGAGCCACAGATGTTCCTTGTCAGCTTCGCCGACTGTGTCGGTAACCAAATGATGGAATAAAGCGTACGAGTGGGGTACTTACTGCTGCTCTGACAAGGAGCTATTAGTGAATTCCCTGCTCACCAGCTCTTTAGCTGCTTCATTAAAACCCACCCGGGTCCATATGGTCTGCAGGCAGGCGCTGCCGTGGCCTAAGGTGTTTATTTGTTGCTGATAGGTGGGGATCAGCGGAGAATCAGGGCCGGGTTCCGTCCCTAATCTCACTGAGCTGTTTGTGTCTTGGATGCCATGGAAACTGATACCCCTCGTCATCAAAGAAGCTCATTGGGTGGGACTAACGACCTGACAGCTGGGGAGAGAAGGATTCCAGCATTCAGGGAGAGCTCGGTCACCCCGGGGGTTTCCTTTAATCCCTGATAATGCCCCTCCAAAGCTTTCCCCAGCAGATGCAACATATTTCTCCAGAAGACAATCAAAGAATCTTTTCATTGGCCTCATTTCATGTTTGACAGAAGTGTGGTTGTTGACTTTGACAGACCTCTTTGATGATCCAAATGTTACCCTTTTTCATTTCAGTGTCTGCACACATGCGATTGTTTTCTGTTGGAGTAAAACCCCAGAAATCGGAGTAAGCTCCTCGACTTGACACTTACAGTGCACGCATTCCTCCTCACAGGAGAGTGACCTCCACTGTTTTGCTTTTTCCTTACACTGCTCTCTTTTTAATCTC